TAAGTCCTTGAAATAATATTCACAAATTGCATCACTGGAGAGGCCAGACGAGTTTAGGGAAAGAAAATTGAGAATATCAGGACTTCTCCGCGGTGATGGCAATGATGATACTATGATTGACGGTGGTGAAGAAGTCGATCTTGAAGAAAAAAAGGAAAGTCATTCGATGCCAAAAGCGATGAGAACGCAAGTGTTGATGATGAAAGAAAACCCCGCAACACCATTCAAATTAAGTTGTCTAAACCAAGAAGCAACTTCGATGAAGCACCGGAGTCGGGAAAGAAGACGAGAACTGACGTTCAGCATCAAAGAAAGATTCAAGAACAACAAAGTTCTGAGATGAACTCGAAATTTTAAGGGAGTATAAGAAAATTGCAAGAAAAATATCAACAACTCGACAAATCAAGAAGCAAGATACAAATTCTTGTCATCAAGAATCTTCCTCGTCAAGATGTGGAACCAAAGAAGAGACTACAGGTTTTGCATTGCTCAGGCCAAAAAACAAAGAGGCAATCTGATCTGCTCAAGTTTCCACGTTCCAAGTTCAATTGTGATAGCAACCGTAAGAGGCCGGGGAATAATTCTTGGAGCTACTGCCTATAGTAGAAGTGTTAGAAAATCGAATTGGTGAGGTCTGAACATATCGATTGATGTAATTTTGTAAAAGAACTACGTGCAGCTTGATCCCTAAATTGGGTACGTAGGCAGCCTAAACTTTAAAGGTTCAGCTGCTTTTAGTGATAACAATCTGTTTGTGCCTGAAAGTTGTAATTGTATAAAATCTGTGACACAGTTCTGGTAATTGTGTATATAGATATTTTATTGAGTTTTGTCGTATATTTTCATTGAATATTTCTAGCCTATATGTTTTGGTCCCTATTTGCATATGTTGAGCTGTATGTACATGCAGGTATTTGAATTTATATTTTACTTGGTAGGAGAGTAATCTTAGGTTAAGTGCATGTTCTTTAATACTGTAAGAAGCCAAAACTGATTGCAGCTGATAGATGTTTTAGCAACATCTTGCATTGCTATGTTTTGTCTAATATCTCGAAATGAGAAAAAGGGAATGAATGATGTTAGTCATACTTACATGGAATGCTGGATTGCTTCATAAGCCTTCGTTGCTGGCAGAAAGTCACAAACTGCAACATCGTTGTTCTCGTTTTTCTTGTCCAAAAAAGCGTTAAAGAGAAAATGTCCATATCGTTGAGACTTAAGACGATGACCATTCACAACATTCTAGTAATAATATTTTGAAAGGATACAATCTTCAAATAAGTGATGAATTTCAGCTAGGCGGTGGGATGAAAGCTCTTTAATGTCTGTGTAGTGCTGATATTCAGGATTATCAGCACAGACAACTATTATTTTGTTGTCTCTCTCTGTATTTCAAAACATGCTAATATTTATCTGAATGATAAAAATGAATAGTATTTACACGTAAGATATAAAGCGTACTTGATCGATCATGGGCATCAGGCCTATTGCTTTTGCCCTGAGAAAGCATCCTGAAACAACTGGTTACTGTTTACGTTTCCATATAGTTGAGCATCAGGGAAAAAGTTGTGCAAGGCATAAAACAATGTCATCAAGTTAAAAACATTTTAGACATCACAGATTCAAAAGAGTAAAAATTATCTGTAAATATTTTACAAGTCCACAACCAAACAACTAAGAATTAAGCTCTTTTAGCAGAAAAAAATTGCCACTCTGGTTGACATATGTGGGTGGGCGTAGGATCCAAGTGCACAAAGAATTCCAAAAAAGTGCTCCTCATCGTGAGAGTGATGTTACGGAGGGTGCCAGCAAAGCAACTTTGAACAGCAAATTCAATTGAGAGTCAAAGCTCTACACTCATGAGTACGTGACTACTGGTCCCATGCCATGCTCAATTGACAATTTAGGACCTTGAATTCCTAAATTGGACTTAAATTTTTTTTATCTTATGTTCATTTTTATATATGTTTTTTTAATTTTTATATAAATAACCATTAAGGAATTGAGTTATTATTTTTTTAATAATTTTTATTTTTCTAGAAATTTTTTTAGAAAATTTATTTTTTAGAATTTTAGGCTTTTATTTTTTTAGAATCTGTTTTTGAGATTTTCAATTTAATTATTAAGTTATATTTTTTTGAGTTCTTTAAATTTTATTTTTTAGAATTTTAATTAAACGCTTGTTTTTCATATTTGAAGTTTTTGCAAAATTTTCACTGAAACACACTGAAAATATCGAAAATAGTTTCTTAGTTTTATTTATAAGTTTAGCCTTATTTTCAAAATACATTTTTTCAAAATACTATACTAAACACGTTTTGGGTGTTTTACAAAATTGAAAACTGAAAACAACTTGAAAATAACAAAACAAACACCCTTAATTTTAGGATTGTTTTATATTAGTAATCAAACTTTATTTTATTTCAAAATAGTAACTGAAGTTTCAATTTCTATTTGACCATTTCTTTTCAATGATTAAAACTTATGGCCCGTTGAAAGCGAATGATCAACGTAGCATAAGCAATGCAAACCAATTTGAGGTTATTTCCCTTCTTAAAATAGTATAAGCTGTGCAAAACATTTTTGTGTCACACATTTTGTAAGACATGTGAGACAAAGAAAGGTTAAAACTAAAATAAAAACATAAATTATATTAAAACATTTCTAACATGACTGTGGATTGTACTAAAAAGTGTGTCGCATCACCCCAAAATACTTGCATAACAATGAAAAATTGGAGGATGCCTAACAAATTTTTATAATTTACCTCAACTTCCTCTGCCTCCTCTCTTTACGTGTCTTTCTCTCCGCCAAATAAGTCAACAATTGTTATACGTGTAGCCCACAATTTTCCAATCCACAAAATGCTATTCTCTCCATCTTTCATTTTACTTGTCACATGTACAACAATCCACGTTATTGTATTAAAAATTCTCTTATTGTTTTAGAAAAATAAAGTTTGGTAGCTAACACGTGACAACTCTATAAATTGGGTGACATCTAATGAACATTTCCGTGCCTCGAGTTGATTTTACTTGTGAACTGGATTGAAAAAAGTGTAAAAAATCTACACAGTCATCGTACTCTACACGTGAGAATAAATTCCTGAACTTCAAATGTACTTCTTTAGTCCTTCAACTCAAAATCACAAATTTAGTCACTCTTTCGGTCGATATCCATTCGAAGTAACAGAAATGATGAGTAGACATATGGAAATGCGTACATTCAGTTTCTCTCACTAAAACTGATATATCCACGTAAATTTGCTTTCATTGTATTGTAAATTAGAAGAACTTTAAGTTGAGTATACTTTCTTTTTAATACGTAATAATTTCAATTTTTTAAAGTATTATCTTATTTAATTTGAATATTAAAACTATTTTTGCAAGCAACATTTCATGTAGAGTTGGATGGCTCAGGTTCATTTTGGGACGAGCCCGAGTCGAGCGGGGGTTGGTTCTGCGAGCTCGCGAACGGCTCGTGAGCCATGCCCACGAGCCTAAAGTTCACGAACTCGTGAGCTCATAAAAAATGTGAACAAAAAAGTCAAAAAATATTTTTAAAAAAATAAAAATCGAGCTCGTGGGCTCGGTTCGTGAGCTCACGAGCGTGGCCCTTGAGCACAAGCTCCTCACTTTGACAAGCCGAGCTCATGAATAGATGGGTCGATCCAGTTCAACTTGACCCATTGCCTCCACTAATTCTGTACCATAAAAAAATAATAAGTATGATTGTTTACGCACAATATAGAGACATCAAATGTACTAAAAAGTATAATTATCATGTGTTAAACCTTGAAAGGCAGGTTCGCAAATGGTTTATGAACATTAAATATTAAGTTCCTGTTTGGTCCATCGTTTTTTTTTTTTTTTAAATCTCAATTTTTCTTTTTTAAAAATTACATGTTCTAAAGATTAATAATTTTTATCAATTTTTGTACCATATATTTTAACAATTAATATTAATATCTACTAAAAAAATAATTTTTAACTAAACATGTACTAATGGCCTGTCTGTTTGCGCTGAAAATTAAAATTCAGAACGTTGGAGAATTGTAAACGCAAACGTTAGGCATGACAACTTTGACCAATTGTGAGTTGCGGACTCCCAAGCTTAGAAAATAACGGTAGGAAAATCCATTTCTCCCTGAAAGAATCTCGGGCAGACATGCCCTAAGATTTGATCACAAGATTTTATAAAGTTTTACTGAAATTGATTTTTTCCATGGAAACGGGAGATATGACAAATTGACCAACTATACACTATCTCCAATAGCCTTTTTATTTTTAAAAAGTATATTCTATCATTTGGAGAACATTTATAAATTTAGAGAGTTAAAATTTTGAAATACTCCAACAAACTCTTTATATTTAACACTTACTTTTACTACTCCCAAAAAATATTNTTACTACTTCCAAAAAATATTTATTATTTTTAATTATAGAGAGTTGGTTCTAGAGCATGTTTGGCTAGGTTTACAATCCAATTAAAATTGAAAATATAGTCATTATTGAGTCTCACTCGTCTAATAAAAGTCAACAATAACGACTAATTTTTCAATTTTAATTTCTACCAAACACGCCTATCAACTCTCTAAATTAAAATGTTAATTTCTCTAAATAAAATGTTAATTTAAAGAATTCCTTGAAACATGATTTTTATTGTTAAATCTTTAAAATAGAGTCTCATGTCTAATGAGACTCCCCCTTATTTATTTATTTGACAAAAGAATTTAGGCAATTTTTGATAAGTCATTTTTTCTTGGGAAGATGAAAAAAAAATTCCATTTTTTAGGTTTTGGCATGTTTGATGAGCAATATTTTGTAGGCAAAAAAAAATTCCAACCCCCTCCTTGACTCGTCAAGTTCCTTGAAATGAGGGAAATCATTTTCCCACCATTTTGGTGGGAAAATACAATTCCGTGTTTCTAATTTTTTTAATAATGGAAACAAATTTCACAACCAACTGTAAAAAAAAAAAAAAAAGAAATTATGGACAATTTTCATGTAAAACAAAATCAAACGAACACTAAACTTTGATGAAAAAATGATTTTTTAGGAATTTTTTTTTTTATTTTTTGGCAATGGAAACAAATTTTATAACCAATTGTAGAAAAAATTATCACTTTAATGACCAATTTTCATATAAAATAAAGTCAAACGAATAAAAAATTAAAAAATTTTTCGGATGAAAAATTAAATTAATCAAACACACTTAATTAACAATTTTCTAAAAAATAATTTCTAAACAATTTCATTTTTTTTCCACCTGTTTTCCACCAGATCGAACCAACTCTTAAAATTCAGGACCGAGCAGGCGTGGTGTGGTGATGTCCCACATACCCTTCCCTCCTCTTTTTTCTCCAATTTATTAGATCTTTGCCATCTGGTAATTTTCATTTACCTGTGTTTCTTCGTCATGTAAAGTTTCAATTTCTAAATATCTCTGCACCATACTTGATTTATAGGGTTTGCTTTTCGAGGAATAAATCAAATCAAATGGCCGCTCCACCGGCTAGAGCTCGAGCCGATTACGATTATCTCATTAAACTCCTATTGATCGGCGATAGCGGTATGTATGTATATACACACTCACTCGCACTTGTTCGTATGACTAGTTACTTTAAATAAATTTTTTTATCAGATTCGAAATTTATTTATGTGCCTTTTCCCCGGACTTGTTGAATGATTTTGCTGCTGCTTCTGAATTTGACGTGAAATGCTCATGTTGTTACGGAAGTGGATGTGCTTTTTGTTTATTGTAATTAAATGGTCAAATTTAGTATTTTCATTTTCTGTTGTGATACAGATTTTGCGTGGGAACGACGTGCTTTTAAAAAAAAGACATGATTGGCTGATTAGCATAGTCTAGCAAAATTTGTTTTGATGCTGTTAAATTTGTCGAATATATGTGTGTTTGCTTATGAATCCATGGGTTGAGTTACATGTAATCATGTTTTGAGATGATTTTTCATTTTAGAAACATGGTTGATTCGGTAGATTTTTTGATCTGCAAATACTAGCAACATGAAAGGATTTGAATTGAGAAAAACAAATGAGCTAAGAGAAATTGATTGTAGTATATGGATAAGATACTGATGGAGCAGCAGGGCATGCTAGTAAAAGTTTTAGAGAAAGCTGGTCAAAATTGTCAAAAGGTTAATGATTTGACATCTTCATCTCAGTCAAGCTTGGACCTGACCAGATATTTTAAATATCTTGATCAGGTTGACAAGGGATTTTATAATCTGGTCGACCTACATGTCTCGGATTAACTTTTTTAACCCATAAATGTTAGATACTAGTGCTTTTTGATCAACAGTTTTGTCAATAATGTTTCACAGATCCATTGGAATGTGTTGGTTCAAGTCCGTGATAGCTTTGTTGACTGAATGAATTTCAATGATGTTTATTTGTTCCTCTTAGTCAGTTTTGATTTTCTTTTCCTAGTCTAGTTCAATCTTTTTGTAGTAGTTTATTTCATGTATCTGTAGGTTTGGAATTAGGATTTATCAACTGTTTTCACTTATTGTTATGCCACATTATAACAATATACTTTCAGGTGTGGGTAAGAGTTGCCTTCTTTTACGTTTCTCTGATGGTTCTTTCACCACCAGTTTCATTACTACCATCGGGTATGTCTATTTGAAAAATAAAGACGTAATATTTTAGTATGGCTTCTCAACATTCTTGTGCAAGCCTCCTTAAATCTCTTGTGCAGCATTGACTTCAAGATAAGGACCATAGAGCTGGATGGCAAACGGATCAAACTGCAAATTTGGGATACTGCTGGGCAAGAGCGATTCAGAACTATCACGACTGGTATGCTCATGAGCTATGCACAAATATGCAATCCCCCTTCTGTAGACATGAGCTAAGAGAATTCACTATTCTGTTGCACATTTCTTTTTTCGAAGTAGTGGAGAGGACACATGAATGTTCACTATAGATGCATCTGTGTACTTGACATGGATCGACTACATAGAAATTGAAGGCACAGTTTGCCTATGAATAACTGAGAAGAAAGAGGAGATATAGAGCGTATTTGGCAAAGCTTTTATTAGATTATAAGCAATGGGTCATACGAAAGTGGAGATAATAAGTGGGTATTATAGATTATGGGGGATAAAATAGAATTTGATCAGCTTATAAGCAATTATAAGCTTTGCGATGCTTTTATTCTATATTGATTAAATACAGCAATAATAAATCTCATATCACTTAAGAAATCTACTGCTGATTGTTGACTGAAATAGAATTCTTTACTTGTGTATCAGGACAACAAAACTCGTTTCTTACTGACATTGCAGTGCAGTTTATTGATTGTGCTTTCTAGTTTTTCCATTGAATTTGAAGCACAATTTTACCCGAATGCTTTTTTATGAAATTTGTTTTTGGGCCCATAAACATACGTTTGCATTGTAAGAAGAAATTCTTATTGCAACTAGATTTGAGAGCACATCTCAAAACTGTACTTTAGATGAAGTTAGATCAAAGAGGACAGAGAAGTGCAGGTTTGACATTAAAATGAACCATATTAATAGAAAAATACTCAATATGACCTTCCATTTATTACGAACACAGTTTTCAGTGTTTTATGCTTGATATTTGGTCAAGATGTGTCTGTAGGACAACGAATTGAGCTATAAAAGGACACAGGATATAAAAAAGAAAAAAAAAATAGTATCAAGGCTATTACTGTAACTTTCAAAATTTGTTGAATGTTTCCAAGGTCTCCAGAAAAACCAAAGACCTGATAGCCTTTTTATGCCTAAGCAGAGAATAAATCAATTCTCTGGCCAAATTTCTCTTTTCCAAGAGCTTATTTCAATTGAGTTTTCTGAATTTTAACAGGTGTTTTTCTACATTTAGTCATAGAACCAAGGATTAGTGGAATAGAAGTAAGATCGCATATGATATGGAAACTTGCAATTGGCCAATACATATGTTTTAAAAAGACACGTTTCCTTTTGCCTCTGCTTAAGGTTTGTATCATCAGTTAATTTTTTCTCACATGGTGCTTGTAGCCATTTAGATTATCTAAGCCATAATTTTTCTTTCTTGAAATTTCCAAGAAATTTATTAAGATATAAATATTTTTATGCAGCTTACTATCGTGGAGCAATGGGTATATTGCTGGTGTATGATGTGACTGATGAGTCATCTTTTAACAGTAATTACTCTGCCTTCTTATCATCTTCTGTTGCTGGGTATCAGATATCTTTGTTGTCATTGCTGCAGAATAGATATTTTTAATTTTTCCGCCTTTTGAATTATTGTGTTGTTATGCTCTCTCTTTTTATTTATTTTTCTTGATTACCTAGTTAGAGTTTTAATTGGTACAACTTACTCATCATGATAAATATTGTTCTATCTTGTCAAAATTGACCACTTCTTTTGTTTAGACATAAGGAATTGGATTCGAAACATTGAACAGCATGCCTCTGACAATGTCAACAAGATATTGGTGGGTAACAAGGCTGATATGGATGAAAGCAAGAGGGTTTGCTCTCTCTCTCTCTCTCTCTCTCTCTCTCTGTGTGTGGCCGTGGGTGGGTGGTAAGCATGCAGTTTATATAAAATGAAATGCATGTGTTCAAACAAGAAGTAATTCTGTCCAATGCATTCTCAGCATTCCCAAAATTTACATGGTATTTGAAAAGTAATAAAGAAGTATAGATGGATCCCACATATGTATAAAAAAGAAAAAGATCGATCCCACCTTGGATACAGTTTGGCCTCTGAAATTTTTTAATTTTGGGAGGTAGAAAATTACCTTTACTTTTTAGAGATTTTTATTATTAAGTTTCTGTATGCTTCAATAGATCAGGAAAATAATTGCCTGGTGCCTTAATAATTTTTAGCACTTTCATGTTTACTCTATTTCAATATTTCTGTACACGGACCTTTTGACACAAAGAAGAGATCAAATTTATCACTTGCAAAAATTTCTTAATTCCTAACTTGAAGAAAAAGAAATTAGCCTATTAACTTCCGTTACACGTTAATCTTCAAAAAAATACATGCTGCCTTCACAAACTTTGGACATATTTGCTACCTAATTAATTTGAGATATGTTTATGCTTGGGACTTAAATTTCATCATAGTTTATTGACTTTCCAAGGAGATGATAGTTTCCAAAGCATCTCGAGTAAAATCTAATCAAAGAGTTGAAATTCTTAATGAATGTGGATATGTACCTTCAGGGTTCGTGAAAGGTAGGCAAAAGCATTGCCAAATTCGAAGTGAGTTCAACTTTCTTTTGCAATAAGAGTTTTCTGGAAAATGTTGAAACCTCATTTGAAATCATTCTTTATAACGTGTAAACAATCAAGTATAAACATGAGAAGAAAATCAAAATCCAATTAGACTCGTTTGTTTCATTTTTCTTGATAATTTAAGGATATTAAATAGACTAATAAAGCATAAAGCGAGTGTTTTAACTGTGAAGGAGAGGGTCATATTTAAAAAAAAGAACAAAAAACTGTGTTTCTTTGGTCCTTTTCTTGATTGTAAGAAGAAAAAAATCATTATGGAGAGAGTTGCATACTAGAAAATGAATTAACTGTTTTCTGCATGCTAAAAATTGATGAAGTAGAGTCATAACTTGCTTTTGGAATTTGGAAAAATCATCAATTGGGCTAATATTACGGAGTCACATTTTTCTAATTTTATTGCAACCTTGTAATAGGAAGCCTGCCAGAGATTAACTTTTTACTTAATTATCTATGAGTTGGATTGTGTATAAAATAAAATCATTAAATAAATATAGTAAATTTCCCATTCTAATGACCTTTATTAGGATTGTTCTTTTAAGTGATGTCAATTGTTAGGCTGATGAATCATTAATTTTGGACGTGGAATAAAATTGGTTCCTAAAAATTTCAATAACCTTTAGAAGTACTAAACATATGGAAGTTAAATATTAGATGGGCTTACATTGATCAGACACAAACATGTTCGTTCATGTCTTTTTATGTGTAATTTAGCTTGTTCTTGCTATTTGGGATTGATCTAGATTACTTCTTTATGTAGGCCATTCCTACATCCAGGGGTCAAGCACTTGCTGATGAATACGGAATTAAATTCTTTGAGACTGTAAGTAGTGCTTGTTGCTGATGTTGCAAATATTTTGCTGAGTTTAATTATAATGACGTTATGTTCATCAGAGTGCAAAGACAAATATGAATGTGGAGGAAGTTTTCTTCTCAATAGGTAGGGATATAAAGCAAAGACTTTCCATGACGGACTCAAAACCTGAGGTACTACTGTCTGTTTTCCTAGTTGGGGAATTTATAAAAGCAGGTTTGGCTAAGCTTAAAAAGTAAAAATTACTTTTGTTTTCAAATTATGTTTGGATAGCTTACTTTTTAAGTAACAAAGTTAGTTATTTTGAAAGTAACTCGTTCAAAAATTATTTATTTTTATACTTACTTATTTACTCCCAAGCACCTTTTTAAGTTTAGCCGAACATGCTCTTTAGTGCTCAGCACTGAATTGTCCATTATTTGATTATCCCAGGCTCCATCCATTAGGATTACCCAAGCGGACCAAACTGCAGGGGGTGCTCAAGCAGCACAAAAATCGGCTTGCTGCGGTTCTTGAGCAAACCCTTTGCGTTGAAAGTAGGCCAACCAGTTACATCCTTCAAATTAACCATTTTGAGGGAGGGATTAATGTCATGACAATATCGATTTTGCTTGTAATGTTGTCATTCTCATTTAATATAGTCTCTACACAACTATGTTGTGGGAGTAAATCTTTATTTGAGAAAGTAATAGCATTTAAATCTTTTAGGCCTTTCTCATGTACTCTTTTAATAAATTGCTTTTATTTTATGGCTGATTTGAGTGTAAAGTTGAAACAGCTCTTTATATTGGTCCAAACTCTTTGCTAGTGTTAGTGAATTGATATGCCATCAACTGTTCGCTGTTCTTTACTATTCCCTATTTGCTGGGTCTCTACTCCAGCATTGGATTTTGATGGTTAGATGCAAATATTTTAGCTTTAAGTTTTAGCATATATGTTGGTTCTTTAAACTTCACCATCTAAAAAAAAAAAAAAGAACCTGTTGTCACATAAATTTGGTCAATGTGTGATTCAGTTTTTCATTAGTTCGCATTTTCGTACCCTGTCTATGTTTGCATTAGGGTTCGTTTGATTGCAAGGGTGGAAAATGGGTGGAAAGAAAATGAATTCCAGAGAAAATAATTGCTAAGAAAATGCTTTGCAGGGAATTGTTAATTAATTGTGTTTGATTTGTTTAATTTTCCACCCGAAAATTTTTTTAATTTTGTGTTCGTTTGCATCAAAATTATCCATTAAAGTGATAATTTTTTCCACAATTGGTTATAAAATTTGTTTTCATTACCAAAAAGCAAAAAAAAAAAAAAAAAAAAACGTAAATAAAATGTTTCCAAAAAAATAATTTTTTTTATTAAAGTTTAGTGCTCGTTTGGTCTTCGTTTGCATCAAGATTGTCCATGCAAGTGAAGTTTTTTTTGACACTTGGTTATGAAATTTGTATCCATTACCAAAAAAAAGAAGTAAAAGAAAAAAAAAAAAAATCAACAGCACACTGTGGGAAAAGCTTTTCACCATTTTTAGGGAAATTAGGCGCGTGAGAGTCCACTATGGAAAAGAAATTCTTGGCAATTGTTTTCCTATCAAACAACCAAATGGGAGGAAAATTGAATTTGTTTTCCATTTTCCTTGACAAATCTACCCTATCAAACACAACCTATAGTGAATTTTGACAGATTTTATATGCTCAGTTGAATGGAGACGGAGACTAAACATATTCAACTATTGGATTGCTCAATATGTTCGTAATTCAACCGTCAGTTTGCTCTCTTATAGGTGACACAGAGGAAAGAGAGTTTCTTCAAAATATTCTCAATTAAATTTCTATGAAATGAAGAACCATGCCACTCGGTTTGCAACCTCTGTTTGACCCACATTATTTTTTTTATTCTCATTCTTTTACTCATTTTCAACCACACATTCTTCAATAAAATAATATTTTTCATCACATCAATAACTTTTCCTTCATTTTTAAACACATATTTCTCATTACATCACTTCAAAAAAATGCATCTCATTTTAATGTGTACCAAACAGTAATAAATAATTCTTGTGGCTTTACAAAAAGGCCCCATTAACCAGTTTGTTTCAATTTTAGTTTCTAGACGAAGGGCTCGAAGTAAAAAATTATTCCCCGCTTGTTGGCAGTTCCACCATATGATGCTTTAGAATCGCACTTCGTGGAAGTCACAACTTGTCCATCGTTCAAGCATAGCACAAAAAATACATTGAATTTATTTTAGATTTTGTTTATAAACATATTTGCATAATATCTTTACATTTTTTCCTTAATAGTGAGGTAGAAGGTATACTTTGCAATATATTTAGATAAGTAACTTTTTATGCTTAGCCAAACACGCACTAGTAGATTCTTATTCTTGTGGATTTGAATCAAGAATATATTAGGAGCTAATTTTTAGTTGAAAATTACCTGTCTGGATTAGGTTCTGCCAAGTATTCTGTTGTCTCCAATACATGGATTTTGGCTGTGAGTGGAGTGATGACACCGTATTTTATTTGTTACAATAACGAATAAAATTTTAATAAATAAATGTGTGTTTCTTAGCGCCTGTTTGAGCGGCCACATTAAAATTTTCATTATCATTCCTCTACTCTTTTTCAACCACACATTTTTCATCACATCAATAATTTTTCATCCTTTTTCAATCACATATTCACCATCACATCACAAAAAAATGTATTCTTTCCATTTAAATGTGCATCAAACGTGCTTAATAATAAATTCAATGAAGGAGATATATATGCATAAAGTAATCGCATCAATACAAGGGCCAATCAATTATTTTCCAAAGCAGCAGGCAGACATTTATTCTCTTTCCTATATGAAAAGTTTTCAATTATGGAAATGGAATGTGTGGTGAAGTGCATTCGCAAAGATAGCACAAGGGAGAAAAAAAAAAGTGCTGGGACGCAAATGGTCAAAAATAGATTGAAAGGCTATAGCAGTTGTAATTGGAGCGGACAGTTTGCATCTAGGGGCGTCCCACTGGTGAACTTTTTTTAATTGATGTCATTCTATTATGAACGCACTTACGTCCTTTATCAAACTAAAGTAAAAGTTACTTTCGTCTCATACTTTTCCATTCAAATGTGCCAAATGAATCACTGCACTCAAAATAAAGAAGGAGAAGGATAACAGGGTAGACGTAACTCTTAAATTGAAAGAAAAACTGTCATAAATCGTGTGGTTTTCATTTTCACTTTCATTCGTTGCATTTGGTAATAGGGATAAACATTTAATCCATATAGGTTTCTCACAAAAAGAAAACTTACCGATGACTGAGAATGACAAAATTCAGCTCTCCTTGATATCAATACCTAAAACGCAAATTACTTGCCAAGACTTGTTAAAAGATCTGTTTGGGAAGGTAGTTGAAAGTGAAGCCCACTAAGTCGAGTGCAGGGCATTGTAGCAGCATATGAGTTTCTGCATATACAGTGGAATTCTCAGAATCTATTCCTAATGAGTGGAGTAGTTATGAGTGGAGTTCATACGCTTATTTGTTGGTCCTAAATCATGATATTTTATTATCTTTTGGATTAAATTCTACTTAATTTATATTATATTGTATTTTGTAGGTAAAATTTTATGCTTAATAAAACATTGAAGAAAAAAATGTAAAAATGGTGAAAAATGACAAAATTCAAATAATGAAACAATGGAGAGAAATATTACATTAAATGAATTCGAATTAAATGAGTTTCAATAGACTTGCATTGAAAATTTAAATTAGAGACCCAAATTATATATATATATATATATGGAAAAATTGCAGCAGTGGTCCCAAGCATTTTTATTTTTGCAAACTTTACACTGACCTTTAGTTTATGTTAGTTACAATCCAAAACCTTTCAGATATATGTAGCAGAGGTCCAAATGGACTGTTTGTCTGTTTCTGTTTATTTGGCGGTTACTTGACCAAGAATAATAGACTTTAACCAATTTTAACAAAATTAAAAAGGGCAAAATGGTAACTATACAATTATCTCATGAAATAAATAAAAAAAAGAAAAACAAAAAATGCCTCTCTTCAACACTCCCAGCATATTGTCGGCACCACCACCGCCTCTGTGCCGGCGCCACCATCCTCATCTCCTTCCCAATCTCACTCTGACCAATTTCCCCCAAAAACATCACCACCACAATCAAACCAAAACAAAACACCCAAATCCACAATTTTCTCCATTGCCACAGCCACCATCTACACCTGCAAATCCTTCATTCTCTCCGCAATTTTGGAGAATGCCAGTCATTTGCCCCTTGCAAACCTCGCAGCCTCAGTCCATGGGCTCCATGATACTGTTGAGCTTCTAGCTGCTGAACTAGGGAATAATGTTCCTTCTTTGCCACAGGAGAGGAAAGCTTCTCTTTTGATACCCCCAAGTCCTATCTTATGTGCCGGAGATTGGCCTCTGTTGATGGCCAGTAAAGGGATTTTCGAGGGAGGTCTTGACGAAACAGGCAGAGATGCACACGAGGATAATGAAGAGGCCATCGATGCCGACTGGGGTGAGACATTGGATATTGGTGAGGTCGAGAACTTGCAGGAAGAAATCGAGGAAGGAGGGTGGGATCTTGAGGATCTGGATTTACCTCCCAAAACACCAAAGACTGCTTCAAATGTTCGTTCTTCTGTATTTGTCACTCCCACTCTGGGAATGCCAGTAAGTCACATTTGGTCGCAGAAATCGTCACTTGCTGAGAGAGAATTGCGGAGAGAATGAAAGATTTGCAGGTGTAGATGGTGGCTGTGGAGAAAATTGTGGATTTAGGTGTTTTGTTTTGGTTTGATTGTGGTGGTGGCGTTTTGGGTGAAATTGGTGAGAGTGAGGTTGGGGAAGAAGATGGGGGTGGCGGCTTCGGACAGAGGCGGCGGTGGTGCCGACAGTTTTGGAAAGAGGCATTTTTTTATTTAATGAGAAAATTGTATAGTTACCATTTTACCCTTTTTAATTTTGTCAAAATTGGTCGAAGTCTATTATTGTTGGTCAACTAACGGCCAAATAGACGGAATGGACCTCTGCTGCATGTATCTGAAAGGTTCGGGACTGTGATTGGTACAAACTAAAGGTTATGGTAAAGTCTGCAAAAGAAATGAAATGTTTGGGACCGATACTGCAATTTTCCCTACACAGAGATATTAGGCAGATAGAGGAAAAGGGGGAACAAAAGGTAGAAGAAAAACAGGCGACGCGGGGGCAAGAGAAAATGAAAAATAACTGCGGTACTGTGAATTCTTTGGAGGAAAGAAAAAGAAATATACATCCACAGACAGCAACACGTAAGAGAGGAAAAGGCTACCAGAAGAAAGAGAAAGAAAAGAAAAAAGAAAAAGTCAACAAAGAAGAAAACGGCACAAAGAGAGAGAAAGGAAGGAAGGAAAAAAGAAAAAAAAAAAAAAAAAAAATTTCACGTTTAGTCAATTTTTGGAGATATCTTTCGACTTTTGCTTGTTTTTATTTTTACAATATGAATAACTAATTTTTATATTAAGGAAGAAAATGTAATCGATTTGTAATCCTTTATTTTTTTATTCAAGATCTCTGTGATTTATTTATTTATATATTAATTTTATTATGAGTTTAATGCATTAAATTATCTGATCAATAATTTGATGATTAAGTGAGTCTTTTACGAATCGAAAGGCTAGTTTGGGATTTAGACTATATAGTAAAATTCGATAAATTAGTATAACGTGTAGAGATACTTATACTAATTATTGCGATTGTAATATGAATTATTAGAACTAGTGTTTCGTTTATCTAATGTTGATTCACATAAAGATATAAAATTTAATTAGTTAAATAGGTTCAATGAGAACTCGATAGTGGTAAATTGAATATAATAGAAGAATTCGAACATTAGGTTAAGAATCTTGAATTAAGAATTAAAGTGATCAATAGATGAAATAGTTATGCCCTAATATTCATCACATATTTGAATCTTCAATTATCCGTTGTGTGCAATCATTTTATATTTTCAATTTGTTAAAAGTAGTTAGAAAAAATAATCACAACCACCATAATTATTTATTTGTTTTTGTCAAATAAGAGTTAAAAAAACTAGATTAAGTCTTGAAGTATAATTTTTATAGGAACGATATCAAGACTCAAAGGTCCACTACACTACTTGTTACGATATCATACATTTGCAATATAAAAAAATCAAAACCAAATGATGAAAACTCAACAGGAAAACCATGCAGAATAATGTAGAGAAGTACTATAAATTAAGAACTTACTCGAGTTATTGCGGTACCTCACCCATTACCTCTTCCTAAGATTGAGTTGTACGTATCAAAACTGGGAGAGATCATGAATAACCATATATCAAAAGTCACAATATGCAGTAAATTTCAAAAGGCTAAACCCTTCTTTGCTGTAGTTTTTCTGCAATTTGGTCTTGCAGGAATGGATGTTCTCTCTAAAGCTGCATTAAATGAAGGGATGAGTAATTACGTATTTGTCGTCTATCGACATGCCATAGCTACAATTGTCATCGCCCCTTTTGCACTCATTCTGGACAAGTCTCTCTCTCTCTCTCTCTCTCCATATATATATATATATATAGATTCTAGTTCAAGTGAAGTAAGCATGCTAATATATATATTTTTCTCCACAGGAAAATGAGGCCTAAGATGACTCTTTCAATATTTGGCCAGATAATGCTTCTTGGCTTGTTGGAGTAAGTCTAAATAACTAAATTATTGCATTTTACCTTATGTTTTCTGCAATATCTATGGAATAAGCTTTGAAGGTTTTACCATAACAGGCCAGTTATAGACCAAAACCTATACTTCCTAGGGATGAAATACACAACAGCAACGTTCGCTGCTGCTATGTGCAACATTCTACCAGCGATTACACTCGTCATGGCCTGCTTCTTAAGGTGGATATCATGATGCTTCTAACATGTTTTTCTTATTTTGTTCAATAGTGTCCGGTCTAGAATAACGAGCATGTGTGCACATAGTAATATTACATGATAACTACACGTGCATCTCTGCTTACACAATACAAACCAATTATATTGTTAAATACTATTGTCATAGGCTCGAGAAATTTAAGGTAAAGAGCATCCACAGCCAAGCAAAGTTAGCTGGAACTTTGGCAACTGTGGCAGGAGCCATGCTCATGACTCTATTAAGAGGTCCAGTTATAGAGCTGCCATGGACAAAAGGAAGCAGCAGCAGCCATGAACACCAAAGAATTGAAATAAATCTTCGGCATTCAATTAAGGGTTCCCTAATGATCACAATCGGATGTTTCTGCTGGGCTTGCTTCATGAATTTGCAGGTGACTAAAATAACTTGGTATTACACAGTACTAGAAGATGCTAATCTCGTCCAGCACCATTTAGTTCAACCTATCACATGCCATTTACGACGTGTTAACTGTTGCTGTGTATTTACAGGCAATCACACTAAGAACATATCCTGCTGAACTTTCTCTCACAGTTTGGATATGCCTGGCGGGAACAGCCCAGGGAGGAATAGTGGCACTAGTAATGGAGAGGGGAAAAGCTGCAGTCTGGGCTATTAACTGGGACACCAAATTTCTTGCAGCTGCCTACAGTGTGAGAAGAACATATTAAAAGAATTTACTTCAAATTATTTTGGACATTGATGATGAGACTTTGAACTCGACCAATCCTGATTGTTACATGTTTAAACAAATGGCGACCCGGTAACCTGTAACAACATGTTTGATACATTGGACTGGACAATACTTGACAAAAGGACTTGGAAATTTTACCATACATCTCTTTTATATTATCTAATCACGTCCAGTCCAACATACCAAATATGTTCTTCTGTGCAAGTAGATTACCCTTGATTAGACCGTTAGCCTTCGAGGGACCAAGGTCATTAAATATCTTCCAAATTTTGACCCAAAAAAAGCTCATAACCAAATATTGCAGGGCATATTTTGTTCAGGAATCGCTTACTACATCCAAGGATTGGTAATGAAAGAGAGGGGCCCTGTTTTTGTAACTGCCTTCAGCCCATTGGGCATGATTATTGTTGCTGTGCTGAGCTCTTTTATTTTGGCCGAGCAAATGTTCTTAGGAAGGTGAGTATTAGCAACTCCTGTTAACCTTATCTCTTCGTTTATGACATGTTTGGTATGTTAGACTAGACAATTTTAAAGAAGAAAAAAAAAATCTAAAATCCGTCCAGCATTTCCTACTATTGCGTGCCAACATGTTGTGAAGGTCGGAGCAAAGACATGAAATAATTATGTACATGTCTGCATACTTAAGGACATGAAACTGGTGTCATTTTTGTACAGGGTTGTTGGAGCCATTGTAATAGTTATGGGCCTTTATCTTGTTATTTGGGG